ATAATGTTATTCTACGACCTAACGTCAAACCTTTTTAAAAACTTTGAGAAGTTTTTAATATTCTATTGTACAAAATGGTTAGAAAAGTATATTTACATTCCCCTTTTGTTGTTGTTTCTTGTTTCATACAGCAGTTGTAGGGACTTGATCACTGAGCTTTGCAGCCCTCTGCCGGAGGCAAACTGTTTGTCGTCGAGTGAATAATGCGCATGCGCGGTTTTTCTTGGGGAAATACTCTAACTACGCATGCTTATGCAGCAGGTTCTCGGTCAGAAAGCGTAACGGTCGTACATACAAACAAGCTGAATAATAGTATAGATTCCTAACCATACATACCCTATTATGTAACTAGAAATTTTCATTAAGGCTTACCAAAATAAATATTATAAATTTTACTTGTCAAAACACATGTATTAGGCTAAAACCGCTATTTTAGAGTCAAGTTTATGCAACGTTTAAAGTAAAAGTAGTAACATTGCTATTTTTTGTCACCTGAAGCCGAAGTTTAACAAGTCAGGCTTAAAGTTTTGTAATTTTTTAAATAATAACCTGTAACTGATATCTATATTCACTGGAAGATATCCTTTACTTGTTTGTTGTTACGAAAATAAAAAATGCCTCAGAAAAACGTTTGTGTAAATATTGTTTGTTTGTTAGTTGTTAAGCGCAAAGTTACACAAATGGACTATCTGTGTTATGACCACTGAGGTAACGAAACCCGATGTTTAGCGTTATAAGCCCTCAGACTTACCGTCATTGAGGGCAGAAATATCAAATAAAGTGTATAATTTAATATACTCTCTATTGTGTTGTTCTTAGATGACCAGCGTTTAGTATTTGGTAGAAAATGTTATTATACAACACAAAAAATGTCCACCTTTGGTAAAATATATAAGGCTACCTGTTTCCTAAGACAGCAAATGATCGAGACTTAATTTTTTTTTTTGTAATTTTTTTTCTCTCTAATGATCAAATATTTATATTTAGGTATTTTTGATACAATATGAAAAGTGGGTTCTGTAAATAGATCATCCTGTTATTAGTGAAGACTAGTGGTGAAAATATAAAATCAGGCTCTACTATTTTTGGTCAAACAATTTGTTAGTAAGTTTTTTATTTCCTAACCGATATTCTTAATTAGTTCTTTTATATAGAAAAATTTCAAAAGGAATAAAAAAAAACAATTATAAATATTTATCTAAAGTATTAACAAAATGGTTTGTTTCCAGCTTTGATTTTTGTATTTGGGATCCTCCCCCACTCCTTCCCCCCGTGGATCAGCAGTAAACTTGGCAGCTTCTAACGCTAAAGCCCCCCCCCCCCCAGTGGCACAGCGGCATGTCTGCGGAGTTACAACGCTAGAAACCGGGTTTCGATACCCGTGGTGGGCAGAGCACAGACAACCCATTATGTAGTTTTGTGCTTAACTTCAAACAAATAAACTAACGCTACAATTTTGGGATTGATCCCCACTATGAACAAAGTACAGTTAGCCACCACTGGTACAGTTTTGTGCTTAATAACAAACAAACTGAATTTGAAAAACAAATATAATTACAAGCCACGGGTTGCCCAACTACTGGTTAAGCTACATACAATACACTTGTAATGGTTAGTAGGAAAGTATAGCATTATTTTGAGTACACACTACAAAAATGTGAATTATATGGTCTTCTGCTGGATATCCAAATTGAAGCAACCAGTCCTGAAAATGCTTATATAAACAGTGTAGCCCGAAGAAAAAATAGAGAAAGAAACACGTTACAAGCCTTAAGTTAGTAACAAAGCATTTGCGAACTTCGCATTTTGCATTAACTTAGCCTAGTTGTCGAATATCTTGGAAATTTTAGCAGAGTGTAGCTTAGAGACTAGCGTGCGAAATTATGGATTTGCGAATCCAGTATTTGCGTCCTGTTGCTGTATCAAAAAATAAATAAAAAATCGCGCTCCACGCTTTCGGGCCATGGGTGTGTTATAAGTGTGACAGTTATATCCCACTATTCGGTCAGACAAGAACAGCCGAAGAGTTGGTGGTGGTAGTGTCTAGCTGCCTTCCACCTAGTTTATCATATTATAAATTAGGGACGGCTAGCGCATATCATACTAGAGTAGCATTGCGCGACTATCCAAATATATACAAATTTGAAAATTTCTCTTTAATGTGCTGTTTTACATGTTTTTTAAACACTGTTATACAACAATCAAAGATATAAAAATCATAAACACGAAACCCTTAGGCTGCAGACATTCATTTCAACTATACGAAAGATAAATGCAGAAAACTGACGTTGAATTTTAATACGACGTGCCTATCAATGTACACATTTGTATAATACAGCTTCGCCATCTAGTGGTATAGTACTAAAAAAGAAACGATGTACCTTCAGTGAATATAGGCAGTAAATCGATTTTAATGAATTATTAGTTACGACTGGTGAGTCTGTTCTTTTATTAGAGTCACGTGGTGCTTCAGCTTCGAGTCACACCCATTGTACATACTGTATTGTGTACTATGTAAGTATGTATCGAGGAAGGATATTACCTGTACGTAACCAAACCTAGGAATGAGAACTCTGCCATCTATATAGTCTGTGTCACTTCAAGAAGATGATATTTCATGCATTTCTGTTGCTGACTTGTGTCTTTCTGGAGTTCAGCCCTGCCTGTAAGTTATAGCTTTAATTGCAAATGTTAAATCTATCTTGCTCGGATAATTTTAACTAAATAAATATTACACTCTGCACGAGCAACCTAATGAAACAAGATAAATCAAATGACTTTCATAGAAGCAGTTTGATCACTACAATATTTCTCTTACGATAAACTAATCAGAGTTTGCGATTAAAATGTGATCAAAACCATGTCAAATTACACGCGTTTTTAACCAACAATGGTTCGGTTATTAATGGTACCTTCGAAAAGCTCAAATAAAGTAACTTGTGTAGTAATATATTTTTTACCATTAAGTGGAACATTCGTCCACACATTTAGATTAAAGTAACGCGTATTTGAGAAGGTACAATAATATTCTAGAACTTACGTTAAACAACTTTTTACATAAATTAGAGTAAATACAGTTTCACTTGTATTGTACCTACAAAGCCTGACTCCAAATTGATTTTAACCTTGTAAAGCTCAAAAAAATAAACAACATGGCCATTCTCACATGTGTAACAATAAAGCGTTGACTTATGCAAGTCGTGATATTAAAAAAGTGAAATATGAGTGTACTGTACAAATATGCAATATTACTTAATGCGATGAGCTACTGATAGCAATTCTTTGCCAGATAAAACCATCATTCACTAACGTTGCTTACTTTGTATTAATATGGAAAAAATACAGTACCTTACGAAAAACCTTATGTGTCTTATATTGGTATAAATACGTGATTTGAGTGAATTTAAACGAAGTATCGATAGTCCAGTAAAACAATGCAAAGCATACTGTAAATTAGACGAGAAAACTGCTCATTTTTTGTACGAACATATCGAAGAAAAAGTATATCTCCTTGCGGTAGATATATTTTTTATTAAGCTAGAGGCCCTCGTGCAGTTCAAAACTAAAGAATATTCTTAAAGTGTCAACTCGCAGCGTTTTAAAAAAAAAATCAGAAAATATCGCACCAAACATGTCGTTAGTTACTTATGGACCTTTAAAATGAATATATATAACAACAGCAACTTCTATTTGTAACATGTAGACGGCAGCCGGATGTTTATGTGGACACTAAAAATAACAATTTTATTTTTAACGTATAAAGGCCAACTAAACAAGCATGTAACTTGGTGAAATAGAAGATAATAGAACGCAAAACACAACTTAATCTCCTCTATTGTTTATCCAACTATATTTTATTTCCTTGTAACAGACATGGAATCTTCCAAAGGACCAGAAGTCGAGCAGTTAAAGTGTTACACCTGTAAAGTGGACTTCAGCGTAGAGAATTATTCCCTGGATAACGAATGTATTAATCCTAAAGATACAAACAGCCAAAGCATCTGCAGCCCTAACTCTAATTACTGTCAGGTTCGTCTTTGATCATGCATTTTGCTTCTTCGCCTATCACATGATATTCCAATCTTTACATTTGTTATCTTAAATCAGTTACTTCGTAATTACTCCTTGACTATTTGTTTTATAAGCTCCCAAACTACCATGTAATCTTAATATCCCAACATATGTTGCCCTAACTCAGTTACTATATGACTATTCTGTGATTGTTTGTTCAATAAGCTCCTACACTACTATGTAATCCTAACATTCCAACATTTGTGATACTAATTCAGGTATTATATGGCTATTTTGTGATTGTTTGTTCCATAAACTCTCACACTACCATGTAATCCTAACATTTGTGATACTAATTCAGCTACTATATGACTACTCTGTTATTGTTTGTTCCATAAACTCTCACACTACCATGTAATCCTAACATTTGTGATACTAATTCAGCTACTATATGACTACTCTGTTATTGTTTGTTCCATAAACTCTCACACTACCATGTAACCCTAACATTTGTGATACTAATTCAGCTGTTATATGAATAGTTTGTGATTGTTTATTGCATAACGTCTCACCATACAGTGTAATCCTATTATTCTGTCATTCAAACATTTGTTAACTATACCCTGTTATTCATCTAAACATGTTATTTATTTTTCTACTTTTTGTTGTACTTGAATTATTGTCTGGTTAGTTCTCATGTATGTACATGGGCAAACTATATATATATATAAGTGTATGTGAAATAATAGATTATGTCCTAATATTCAAATAACGTCTATTTATAACTTGGCTTGTGTAACCACATTAGGAGTCACTAATTTTTTCTCCAGAAACAATGAATATAGTCAATAAGGGGTGCAACATATTTCAAAACATTAATATAACTAGGCTTTGAAACCAAATAATATTTCTTCATTTTATACGTTCAGGAGTTTCTTTGGTAAAATAGCACTGAAAACGATTAACTTGGAAGCTTTTGTGATGCTTAACTGATATATATTAAAAAAAATTGGGGTAGGAAATCTCTTTAAAACAAACCCAAAATTTCATCCTTCATAAGTAACCCTGGACAAAATATGGGCAAATCGAAAAACAAGTCTTGTTATAGTGGTGGGCTGTAATTTAATATGTATGATATTTTAGTTATATTTTACTCATCACAGTGAACTCAAAGTTCTATACAATTTGTATTTGTCCTAGCGCAAAGCTATACAATGGGCTATCTGTGCTCTGTCCATTGTGGGGACTCGAACATTGAATTTTAGTGTTGTAAGTTTGTAAACTTTATTTCTTATCCATCGGGGAACATTTGAATAATATGTAGCGTTGATGCTAATGATCTATTCCTTGAAATGATAGTAAAGTAGTCATCATATTTTTATTTATTCTCATATATAGCTTGTTTAGTGGGTAATTTACATATAAATCTTACCATTATAAGAAACCTAGACTTTTTTTTCGATTTTTCCTTTCCCAGGTTTACTGACGAGGGGTGGAATTTTACAAAATCATACAACTCAGTGACAAGTGATGAAATGAATGACAGAATGGGCTTCATATTTGTTTTTGTAATCCAGGGAAATATGGCATTATTTCTTTTCAAGGCCCGGCATGGCCAGGTGGATAAGGCGCTC